GTGCTTGCTCATAGGGGGTCATATGATTGTTGGGCTTTTCTCTGTATCTATGAAGCGCCTTGAGGCGACATTTGTTGTGATTTGGCGCTATATAAATAAATTGAATTGAATTGCTTCCACCATGTTTGACAGAATGTGATGTTTTAGATTATTAACTGTTTCTCTCCTCCTCCTTACTTTCTGGCACAAGTTCATCTGGGGTTCTGCTGTTCAGAAGGTTTTTTTTTTTCGTATTTACTTTCATAAATGCATCCCTTGATTGCAGACTTCGTAGGCTGACTGTGATTTGGTTAAGTAAAGACGTTATTATTTCTGATAGATTTTTTTTTTTTACCTCCTTCACTCCTTGCTTCATTTCTTTGGTCCTTATTTTGAAATGTGTCTCTGAAAATTAAAGTTTTTGTATAGAAATTGATATATTTCTTGAACAGTTAATGCCATATTTTTCTATAATCCTTTGAATTAAAGCTGAAAGTGTGTACTTTCCAATTGCATCAGAACTGTTTGTACACCACCACAGTGGATTTCAGAGGTAAAATTATGAGAATGTTCAAACTGTCAGTAACTCATAAAGCACAAAAATGACAAAAATTATATCAACAGTGAATGTTATTGTAATATTGTAGGAGTTACATTAGCATATGCTACCTGCAGCATTTCATTATTAAGAAGCCTAGTGTAAGTGCAGCCAAGGGCATTGTTTCCTTACATGTTTCAAGTAAAGTAAAAGTGTATATTATATAATCTTTTAACCATTCCAACAATGTTCCTGCTCCTCACTCACGTGCCATTGATGACTCCATCTGGGTTGAGCATGGGGATGACCTTAAAGACGAAGGCCTCCCTGAGACTCTGGGCCACCAAGTCATTGCTGCACAGAAACTCCAAAGTGCCCTTCATCACCCAGCTGGCATTGGACTCACCAGGATGCACACGGCTGGACAGTACAATATAGGGGCGATTACCTAGGAAAATTATTATCACACAATCATCAGTTTGCCTAATGATATAACATATTGAACAAGGAAGTTCGTTTCTAGACATCAAGCATCTTCCCCTGGGTGTAGCCTGTATGAGGTCTGGCCAATAGCATTGTCTTGTTCTTTCTGTTTCTGGCAATCTATCACCCTCTTTCTGTAACCACTTACTGGGTCTCGTTTCAAGCATTTTTATAAAGTACAACTTATTAAAGCAGATTAGAAAAATGCTATGTAACAAGGCATGTTAATGGCTCACATCTAAAACCAACTAATGTCTATCAGGATAACATAGTTATCCAGATCAGATTTTTAATTTAACAAAATCTTTAGCTTTAGTCAAAGATGGTGAGACCCAGAAGCCGATTACAACTGCTGTGGAACAGTCGTAATTAACATACAGTTAACAAGCTGAGTGTCTGTGACTTTAATGTGAAAGATCTACAAAGAGCAAGCAAACAGATCTGTGAACTAAACAGTACAACTGGTGCTTCTAGTTTGCTTTTCTCTAATTCCTTCTTGGAGGAAAAAAAAACTTTAGAGTCTGGAGGTGAGAGTAAGGGCTATAACTGGTAAAGTGAGAAAGGTGGCTGATATGATGGAGTGAAGGTGGAGTCCAACTGTTGGTTGGAAGACAGGAAGAGAAATGGAGTAGTGGTAGGGGTGGGTTTTGATTATTGATTTTCTGATTAAAATCGATTCTAGCTTGAATTACGCGATATCGATTCATTAAAATCCTGAATCGCTTTTTAAATATAAATGTGTTTTGCCCAAAATACCAGAATCTCAGGTTAAACCTCACAAAATTTCGACAACCACCAAACAGCTAAAACAGTAAATGAGAGCAGGTACACGGATTCTGCACAAAGACATAAACCCAAAGAGCTGACCCGCCGCATCAGGATCAGTGAGGTGTCGGCTTTCTCACCCGACAGCACGGACACGGACACACCATCAGGGCTGAAAGCTGACAGCTCACAGATGTTATTAAAATTGAGGGAGGATATGTGACATGAGACAACGGATGGCAGCACAGCACACCCAGCACAGCACACCCAGCAAAGCCACGTCAATGGCCCTACCAACTGTGGCCTATGCTACATCATGCTGCAGGGTGATGAAGAGCAGACCTGTGTCAACTGCAACCCAGGGCAATGCCGCACCATAAGCCAGCACCCATCATCACCACCACAAAGGCTAGTCCACCCGGACTGGACATCCAGATGTGGGCCAACCGACCCCATGTGGTGGAACAACCAAGAACCAACCAGAATGGGCATTCCTGGGAACTAGGGCCCCAGTCCCCAGACCTGGACCTGCCCCACATCTCAAGACTGCAAGACAGCACCTGCACCCACCCCAGCCACCCACCTTCACCAGCAATCAAGGCAGACACACCAATGCCCCAAAACACCAACCGACCCCCGCAGGAGACTGTCAGACTTCCACTGACCCCGTGTCCACCACCAGCCACGTGCAAGACACACAGGGAGATGTGACTAAAGTCGACCAACGCCAACTAAGCACTGGAATTGATCAGAGAGATCAGAAAGAAATAAATTCATCCAATTAAATTTTTAAAGAGGCATGCATTTTCTACAAACTAATGTGATCTAGAAGTACATTTCTACATTGAGTAATACAGTTTTTTTAATTAATGAAGATAATTAATGTTGCCCAACTGTAGTGTAGTGGTGGAGGTGTTCTGAAATTTACAAATTTACAATTTAGGGGCAGAAATGTCAATTTACTCCAGTCAGCAGAGTAGTCTGATATGAATGTGATTTTAGCAGTGAGTCTGATTGTCTTCAGAAGAGAGGTTTGTGTTCCCAAGGAAAGTAATGTATCATCAGCATATAGGCTTATCTTAGATCATCTTAAGATCATTTGTCCTGACAGACACATTTGGAGAGCTGTATAGTGTTCTGATCCAATTTATACGGTGGCCCTGAGAGGCCAAACGGACTGCAACTTAAGAAAACACTAGCAATAAGAAAAATGCTGCAAAAGCACACAAAGCACAACGGAAATAGGAAAAATGAAAATGGAAATAGGAAAAAACTGATTTCTAAAAGCACAAGGGAAGTGTTTCTGGGGAGACAATAACCCGACGGACCAGTTGCAGGAACCAAAACATGCTCGGTAAGTGTGTTTTAATCTCATGATTCATATAATACTGATGACAGATTTTTAGGCTAATAGTTAGGCTAACACACTTACCTCTCATCTTTTCTTACCTCACATCTTTTCTTTCCTATTTCCGTTTTCAATTTTCCTATTTCCGTTGTGTTTTGTGTGCTTTTGCAGCATTTTTCTTATTGCTGGTGCTTTCTTAAGTTAACCTGTCACTCATTGTGGATATGGGTCGTATGTGCCAAGGAATTGGCAGGAATACCATAGGAGCAAAACACCAGCTACCAGCAGATAGAGCAGTCGCCTGAGACTGCAACACCAGACAGACCAACCTGTGCTCGACCAAGAATGCTAGAACAAAGATGATGTGAGCTGCATTGACTACAAAAAATGAGCTATGCCATAAAGATATGGCAAAGACTTGTTGAAGCTAAGCTAAAAAGAGGTGACAATTAGTGAGGAGCATTATGGCAGTACAGATGCAATGTTTGCTTTGAGAGTGAACTAAAAAGAAGGTCAGAAGCCAGGGGAATTAGAAGTACTGTGCTGAAGCATCACAATTGTGTTTAAGTCTGATGACTGTGGAAGCCAGGCGATCTGGTGCAGCGCTCCATCACTCTCCTTCTTGTTCAAAAAGCTCTTACACAGCCTGGAGGTATGTGTTGGGGTCACTGTCCTGAGTCGCTGCAGGATGCTGTGGTTCCCCCACACCATCACACGTCCTCCTCTTCCATGATTCACAGTGGGGAACCATGAATGTAGAAACCATCTGTTCACTTTTTTTGCATCACACTGCATGTGGAACCAAAAGATCTCAAATGTGGACTCATCAGACCAAAGCACAGATTCCCACTGGTCTGATGCCCATTTCTTGTGTTTCTTGGTCCAAACAAATCTCTTCTGCTTGTTTCTTTTCCATAGTAGCAGTTTCTTAGTAGTTTTCCAGACTGACTGACCTTCAGTTCTTAAAGTAATGATGGACTGTTGTTTCTCTTTACTTAGCTGACTGGTTCATGCCATAATATGAATTCTAGCATTTGTCAAATAGGGCTGTCAGCTGTGTACCAACCTGACTTCTGCACAACACAACTGATGGAGCCAACCCCATTAAGAAGGCAGGAAATTCCACAAATGAACCCTGACAAGACACACCTGGTGAATTAAAAACCATTTCAGGTGACTACATCATGGAACTCATTGAGAGAAGAGAAGAGTGTGCAGCTCTGTCAACAAAGCAAAGGGTGGATACTTTGAGGAATCTAACATATCATATTTAGAGCTATTTATCCTTTTTTGTTTGCTACATAATTCCATATATCTTGCTTCATATATTTGATGCCTTCAGTTTGTATCTACAATGTAGAAAGTAGTAAAAATAAAGAAAAAACATTAATTGAGAATGTGTGTCCAAACTTTTGGCTAGTAGTGTAGCTTTGTCTATTCATGAAGCCAGATGAGACACATCAATTAAACTGCAGGAATGTCTTAAAGACATAAAGACCTGGATGATACAATACCCTAGGAATATGTGATTCCTAAGGTCTTTCAAAGCAGAATGGGAGGCAGAGCCTTGAGCTTTCAGGCCCCCTTTTTATGTAATCAGCTCCCAGTTTGGATTCAGACACCCTCTCTACTTTCAAGACTAGGCTTAAAACTTTCCTTTGGTTACAGTTCAGTCTAGATCAGGTGAGTGTGAATTCTCCCTTAGTTACACTGCAGTAAGAGTGTTTCTTCTTTACTCACCTCTTTTTACTCCCCATGTCTTCATACATCACTCTGCATTTAATGATTAATTAATCTCTGGCTCTCTTTTACAGTGTTTTTTCTTTCTTTTATTTGTCCTGTCCATCTCCCTTCACTCCCAACTGGTCGTGGCAGATGACTGCCCCTTCCTGAGCCTGGTTCTGCTGGAGGTTTCTCACTGTTTAAACAGATTTTTCCTTTCACATTGTTGCCAAAGTGCTTTTTCATAGGAGTTAGTCTGACTGTTTGGGCTTTCTCTGTACTATTCTAGGATCTTTACAAGATGGTTGTGGTTTGGCGCTACATAAATAAAATTTAATTGAAGAAGACATTTGGTGATTCTTCTGGCTTCATCAGTAGGTGACCTCCACTGGAGCAGTTTGCAGCAGTAGTAATGAGAATTATCACTTATAAGTCTGAGGCAATGTAATCTAAAAAGTTAGAATGCCTACTCTGCACATCTATGGGCAATTTAGAGTCACCAATTAATCCACTAACTGCATGTTTTTGGGAGGAAGGCGGAGTACCTGGAGAGAACCCAGACAGATACAGGGAGAATGTTCAAACTCTGCACAGAGGGCCCAAAGGTGCTCCAATATGTTCTCATGTAGAGAAACATGACAGTATACATATGCATCTTAGATTATAATTCTGAGTCTAACAACCGAAAATAACAATATTTTCTAGTGATAATTATATGTGTAAAAATGTAAACATTTCTCCACGCATATAGCGTTAGTGAGTGAGGTTGACAATTTCATGTGTTCACCATGAAATTGAAGAATCTGTTATAAATGTGTGACTGGGTGAATGACACTTGTAATAGAAAGTTATTTGAGTGCTCAAATTGAATAGAAAGGTCCTATATAAGTACCAGTCTCTCTACCATTCCAATGTGGCTGTGTAAACACGCAAGTACCCCTGACATGAGTAGTTCCTGGACTACAAAGCACTACTTACGCATCTGGTGCAGGTCTTTCCACCTTCTGCTGACTGGACAGGCAGTGATGGTAACTACTGGACAGGAGTTTCCAGCCAAAGTGCTACAAAGAGTCTGCTGCTTGAAAAACACCTTGGCCGGATCCACTGATTTCTGCAGTATTTTCAAGTGAGCCTGACAAAAATAACAAATATATACTTAGGTCTATAATTATTTATAAAACAGATATATTTGTCTTGTAATTCTGCCTCTGTACACCACCAGAGCGGAGCTGAAGTCAAACAATCAAGATGTTTTTGAAATTCAGACTTTCAAATTTAATTCAAGGGGTTTAACAAGAGTATTACCTTAACTACTTAAGAATTACAGCTAATTTTGTACAGGGGGGGAAAATAATTATTGGATATTTGATTGGTGATATGTTTTGGTTCATGTCATGCTGAAAGACCCATCCACAACTCCTCTTCAGTGTTCTGGCTGAAGGAAAGGAGGTTCTCGTCTACAATTTTATGATACATGACCTTGGACACTTAGCAGAAAAACTATTCCAAAGCATAATATTTCCACCACCATGATTGACTGTGGGGATTGTGTTCTTTGGGTCTGCATTTTGTTCCCTCCAAACACAGCAGCTCAAGTTGGTCATATCCCGCATCAGTTTTGATGGCTCAGGGCATGTCATTCATATCATGCCCGGTGAAAGAACTGTATGAATTAGTCTGTATTTAATGTTTCATGTTTGTTTTCTCCACAGATTGATGATCAGGTTGAGGGTTTGAATAGGATTAAAATACAGTATTGCAAATTTCATTAGTGACATTAAAACCAGTTGGGACCAGTGGTTGGATCCTGTATTGGGTGCCCCGGGCCTTGACTTTGAACTACAGTTCAGGATTTTTGACCTACTTAAAGAAAACTAGGAGAAAGTGCCAAGTCCTAGTAAATATCCAATTCAGTATCTTATGGACTTGAGAGAAAAACTTCACACTTTCGGTAGGGTATGTGAAGATTTGCTGGTGATGGTGGTTTGATGGTTCCCAGCCAAGTCAGGCTGTGGGAGTTATGTGCCAGTGGGGTGTGACTGCAGGAGGGAAAGGTATGTGCCAGCTAGTGAGGATTTATTGAATTACATTTTTCCCCAGGGGTTTAGAGAATAGAGCTAAAATAGTAATTCAGTTGCGGTAGGGAAGACCTAAATGCAGACAAAGTTTTTTTTTAAAAGCTTTAAATATAAAAAAGCTGATTTACCATAGCCTGAATAACAAGATGACATAGGAGGGGATGCAAATGAGGATGAAGAAGGGTGCACATAAAAACAGTGATTGCATGTCTGAACTGCTCATAGCTTTAAAAACTCAAAATTCATGTTTGTCGTCTGAGACAAAATAGTCTTTATAAACCAACTTCACATAGAACCTATAAAATTACATTTTCTGCTTCATATTGATCAGTTTTTCCAGAACAAGAGTGAGGTGCAGAACTGTAGCAACTACAGGGGATAAAGCTGTTGGGGGTGGGATTTGGTCAGGGATCTGGTCCGAGCCCCTTCTCGTTTTCAGTCATGATGGACAGGTTGACTTGTGAAACCAGGCAGGAGTGGACTCTGATGTTTGCAGATGACATGAGATCTATAAGGAGCATATGGAGAACCTGGAGAGGTGGAGGTATGTACTGGAGAGAGGACGAATGAAAGACATTAGAAGCCAGAAGACCAAATGCATGTGTGTGAATAAGAGGGAGCTGAGGTAGTGAACGCCGAATAATTTAAATGAGGTCAACCATCCAAAGTACCAGACAGTACATGAGAGGTGAAGAAGGGAGTCAAGGCAGGGTGGAGTAAGTGGAAATGAGTATCAGAGGTAATTTGTGAAAGAAGCAGCAGCAAGAGAGAAATGCAAGATTTACAAGAAGGTAGTGAGACCTGCTATGATGTACAGAGAGGCAGAGCTGAAGATGTTAAGACTTTCATTGGGAATGACAAGAAATGATTACATCAGACGGACAGCTCAGGTGGAGACAGAGTTAGAGAGTAAAGGCTGAGATGATCAGGACATGTGCAGAGGAGAACTAGTAAATATATATACTGGATAAAAGATGCTGAAAATGGAGCTGCCAGACTGAAAGATTCGTGGATGTAGTGAAGAATATGCAGAGGGTTGGTCTGACAGAGGAGGATACTATGATAGGATGAGATGGGAGCAGATGATCTGCTGTGGTGACCCCTAAAGGGAGCAGCTGAAAGAAGAGATTTTATATTGACTAGCCTGCTTGTGATATCTCAGATGGCAACGCATGATCTAAAATATAAAGAAAACAAAAAATAAAGATTTTTCTGGTAATAAAAGAGTTCTTAGTAACCATCTTATCTGTTTTTGTAATATAAAATATGGGGCTTATGGTCGCTGTTAAAATAACAGAGATGGATTCACATTTGAAATTATTTAACTGTGTCATCTGAGTGGCTTGATGCAGCTTTTCCCAACATGTGTATCTATATCTGTACACAGAGATTAGAGTAAGATACATACAGTCCAGATAACAATTATCAACAAATTCCACAAGAAAGGTGAGCTACTATTGAAAAGACTGGGAGCTTATCGGCCAAAGGTTGACTGGAGGGGGAAAGTGTGCTGCGAAAGGATGCACAAGCAACAGGGATGACTGCAGCCTTGAACTGTCTATTAACAAGCTTCCCGAGAAGCGGACTGAAGCTGGTGTCAGAGTATCAAGAGCCACCATGATCAGAAATGTTCTGGACAGGGACAGCAAATGTCACAATATCAAGAAACTCTTGAGCCAGAGAAAGAACTCGACTGTTGTCTTTTCAGATGAAAGTAAAACTTGCATTTCATTTAGAAATCAAGGTCCTAGAGTCTGGAGGAAGCACGGACAGACACAGGATCCAAAACGTTTGAAGTCCAGTGTGAAGTTTTTGCAGTTTAAGGTGATATAAGGTGCCATGTCATCGGCTGGTTTTGGTGCTGCTTTGGTCCTCTGTTTTATCAAGTCATTGTAGGAGATCTTAAGGCACTACGAGAGTCCATCAGCTGACAGACTTTATAGATATTCAGGCTTTACTTTAAGTGATGTGAGTAATATGCTATAATCATCAAAATCAAACAATCAAACAAAAAAAGGTGTTGAAGTATCTCTTTGTGTAATGACTATAACATGTCACTTTTATGATTTAATGTTCATGAACTTAATTAGATTCTCGATTTTTTTACACTATATATGTCACACCTTTACATATGCTAGTATATAGAAGTGTGAATTATACTGTATTATTTAACTGAGACTTGTGTGATTTGAAACTCATCATAGTTTGTTTACATTTTTACACAACTTCACAACTTTATTTGTGATAGGGTTATAAACATTCTACAAAAACATTAAGTTTAAACTCTGACCAAAGTAAATAAACGGGATTATTATATGAAATTTAAAAAAAAAAATACCATCAGAGCAGAGTATGTGTAGGGATAATGGTAGGCCAGGTAGCAGACATCCTCAATATGTTTGAAGGTGATGGTAAAGGTCAGGGTGTAAAAGGTAGTTCTCCTTCTGCCCTGTGCTGGACAAAAGTTGTTTCTGTTGGAGAAAATTGAGAAAAAAAATGATTTGTTATATGTAGACTATCTAAATCAGGGGAACTGATACAACATAGTCGAACAGTAGGTAATATTATAGCACACGTACAAAAATACAATGTTTTGGGAGGTTTTTTTCCCAGTCCACCAGATGGTGCTATTGACTTTTTTCTAGTGAGGTCAGTGTGCCTGAAGCTGGTAAAACAGAGATGGAGGTATGAGAGAAATTCTTCTGTGTTTAAATAAAACATGTGGCCTTATTTTGGATTTTTAACATGACAAGATAAATGTGAGGAATGTATTTTGCACATACTGCTGCTTCCAAGTAAAACTGTACAATGGTGCAGCGATTGGGAGTGCTCTGTCAAAGCAAAAATATCCTGGGTTTGAATCCAGTCTTGGGCCTTTCTGTGCAGAGATTGCATCTTTGCTCTGGGCACTCTGGCTTGCTCCCAAAGACATGCATGGTAGGTTAATTGCTGCTTCTAGATTGAGAGTGAATGGTTGTCTCTTTGGATGGATAGGCCTCTGGTAATTGCTACTGCTAACATCTGTTTTGAACAGCTGAAATCAGCTGTCAATTACAGTTAGTCTCAGTGGGGGTTTTTAATGAATGAACGTCTTCATTTGAAGTATCTATTGGAGAATCCCACACAGTTCTGTGCTTGACCTATGACTAATTTACACAAGTTTCAAACCCGTGTGTCTTTTTGCCCCTTATTAAATGTTTTTCGAGGTCTGACCTGCCTTCAGCAGCCTGCTAAAGCTAAATGTTTTCATACCTGAAATAACAAATTTCCGTTCCAGTTCTGATCCAGTGTGGTCTACCTTCCAGGGCTTCTTTTACTGAGTACAGGACCGGCTGCATTCCTGCAGTACACACACACACACACACACACACAAAAGCAAATATGAAATATGTATGTATGGTGGTATATTGGAGCATCTATATCTTTATTATTTGTGTGTTCATCCCAAGATTATTGACTTTCTGCAGCATTAATCTCTTTTCTCCTTTGCATCAGTGTTAAGTTTTAC